TGCAGGGGAAGCGACCCGGAGCAGCCGCTGCGCAGCTCCGCCAAGTGCCTGGATGCGCTCCCGCCCGGCGCCCGGCTACCGACCCAAAATGGGAGGTCCCAACTGCTCAGCCTTATGTATCGCACTGATCAGAACTTTCCAGAATCTGCGGCATTTACTCACCGGCGCCTCCGCCGGCCCCTCCACGTGCCACTTCCGCTTCCTTCTTCTCGAGCTTTCTCTGCCCAATGCGGGCCGTGTCCCCGAGGGGACATCCGCCGTTGCCATGGCGACAGGAGCGCCGCTCCGGCGCTATTGGCCCCGCCGGCCGGGCCGCCCGCCCACGCCCCGCCCGCCCCAGCCCCGGGCTCTCTGCTGTCCTAGCCCAACGAGCAATGAAGAATGACTGGAAAATTCGTCATGCTCTCGTGGGTGGTGCTGTCCGACCCCGACACTCTAACGAGAGACCGAGCGGGCGGCCAGAGATGCCGACGCCGAGGAGGCCGCCCCGCTGTGAGGAGAGCATGTCGGGAACCGTAGTCTCGCGGCCGGCGCTGTGCGCCTTGCATGCTGGGATATGTAGTCCCGGCCGCGGTGCGTGCCGGGATCCGGCTTTGTCTGGAGGACTCTCGCGAGACTCCGATTTCCCTCCGGCGCCTTTGCGCGCGTTGTCAAGGTGCTGCGTGGTTCTGTGTGCGCGTTTGTTATGTGCTCGTTTCTATTATTACCTAGGTTACAACTGGTGGTTTACGATTTAGGAGGATTTCCGTTTAGACCGCAAATAATAAGCACAGGATTTGTGTTCTTATATTTATCATACGGCAGGATCTTTTGCGAAATGTCAGGGTTTTTTTGTTGTTTTGGTTTGGAGTCTTTTTTTTTAATTTTATTTTAAGACCGCATTTTTGAACGTGGCGTGATTTGAAAGTCTATCTGCGGCATCGCTTTCCGCTTATACCTCTGACTTGAGCACGCCTCGTTCCCATCCTGCCCCACCACGCCACAGATATTAGATGGCGTTTTGCTTCTTGTTTGATCTGAAACACCTTTTGTGTCTTTCCCTGAACAGCATGTCCCCGTTAACTTTTCACTAAAGCGTCGAGCATTATTAAAAAAAAGGTGGAACCCTGTTGCTGCCTGTTATTTTATACTTTTCTATGTCTTTAAGTTTGCCTGTTACCTCCATGCCCACTCTCCCTCAGTCACATGGAAATACAAGCGCATTTCAACCGCGTGTAACTGGATAAGGCCGTTGTTATCCAAAGTCAAGTGCCTTACCTGGCTGTCAGACAAGCGGCCTACTTCTAAGTGCCTCACTTCACCTTAAAAATGGGGATGATGGTAACTATATAAAGGTGATTGTATTCTTAAATTTGAAAATAGAGTTAGCTCTAATTTTTTTGTGTGTGCCTCACAGTAACTTCCCCCACAACACACACTTTTTTCGCATATCAAAACCTTATATTAAAATCCACAGATTCATAACAGTTTTGAATCGAGATAGAACTTTGGGGTTTTTTTGACCTGCCTCCCACATTTTATGAGGAAACTTGTGCAGAAAGAGAAAGGAACAGTTCTCGGTCTTTGGAGCAAGACAGATTTGGATCAGGTTCAAATCCTGGGGCAATACTAATATCCTCTACAGTCCAGCTCAAAAAGAGCACCAGATCTCCTAGAGTTACATTTCAGGGGCTGGAACCTTGACTGTGTATACTTATTTGCCAGCTGTGTGACCTTGAGATCACTACTAGGCCTTCCTGTGTTCCACCTCATAGGGTGCGCAGAATGACTGGAAAAGACATTATTAGGTGATATCTATGCAATCCTCTTCAAATGCTTCTGTGGGCCTCTGTAACGTGGAGACAATACCCATCTTGCTGGGGGTTTGGAAAGATTAGACATAAATAAAATATCTGGTAGTGGGCATTCAACGAATCGTAGTAATAGTAGTAATATTATTCAGGAAAAGGCAGTACTGTACCAGAACTTCTGTCTCAATTCACACTGCTGTGGTTGCCAAGTTGTGGATTTTTGCAGCCTCTTTTGATTTCATTGGTCCACCTTGACTATTTATTTACTGGAACAGGTGAGTGTGTAGCAGCTGGCTTTAGGGAGCACCTTCCCACCTTCGCGCCTTCCTGAAGAGGAAGCTGGCATTCAGAGTTGCACAGAAGTTGGAGCCCAGGGTTCAGCCAGTCCTGAGACCCAACCTACCTCCGGACTTGTCATATGAACCATACATTTCCTTACTGTTTAAGCCAATTTGAGTTGGGGGGGGGGGTTCTGTTTTTTGCTACCACA